GAGTGTTATAGACTCTAGTTCCATCCAGGTTGCTGCGAAATTCATGATTTTGTTCTTTTTTATGGCTGCGTAGTATTCCATTGTGTTGGACCCCAGCTCTTATCTCCAACTTCCATTTCAACTCCCAAACTCCACTCTCACCCCTTCTCAACCTCCAGTCCGGAACCTAAACTAATTTCCAGTACATCTAACTCCAACTCTGACACCAACATCAACTGTAACCTCAATCCTGTATCCCAGCCTGGTTCCCAGTTCACAATTCCCATTCCTCCTTCCTACAGCCAGGATGCAAATCTATCCCAACTCCAGTGTTCATGTCTCAAGCCAGGCAGGGGCTGGGGGAGGAGACTGAAGCAGGAATGCCCGCCCCACCCAGAAGCCCTTCAGGGCCTTTGTGTCTCCCTTGGTCCCACACTCACTGATTTGGGGGCGGCTCTGAGGCCAGTGGCTCCTGCCCATGGGGCCATTGGCACACGCCCACCCTGGGTTTCCTCGCTCCATGTCCTGCTTCCAGGAGTTCCTGAAGGAGCAGAGAAAGCAAAAGTCATCCCTTGAAACAGCCAAAAGTGGAAAGAGAAAGCAGGAAGTGAGGGGAGTGCTGTAGGAAAGAAGGTTGTCGGCGAGAGGAGGGATAACGGAAATGAGAGAAGGGGAAGAGGGACCCAGGCCGGTGGAGCAGCTTCAAAATTGCCCAACAAACTCCACTCCTAGAGGAGCCCACAGGAGTGGTGGCCTCACAGCGTGAACGTGGCAGTGTCCCTCTAGAGAGAGGAAGAATGGAGTAGAAGCTGGGGAAGGGTCCTGACCCGCCATTGTCAACCACCCTCCATGACTGGTACTCACAGGTTAGGAGCAGACAGGAGGCGACAGGCTCTGGAGTCAGGGTCCCAGGCGCAGTGGGGGTCCCGGGCAAGGACACAGTCCACACAGCTCTCATAGACACTACAGTTGGCTCGGGGCACCTTCCAGACACCTCCTGAGAAGCCTACAAATACTGCGCCCTGGAAGAGAAAGGAAGAGCATCAGAGAGCCCCAGCCACACCTAATGAAGTCCCAGCACCCTGGCGCAGACCCAGGAAGCCAGCCCCATCGCTCCGGGAGGTCCCTTCCCACCTGGGTGGGGGCCAGCTGCAGGTTGCGAACAGGTTCGGGGGCAGGGAACAGCTGGATCTCTTCCACCAGGTGAGCACTGCTGTCCTCACTCACCACAGCCTTGTGGAGGGCTCCCGTGGCTATGGGGAGACAGGGAGCAGAAGTCATCTCACCTCATCGCCTCTGACCTCAGATGACCTCCCCAGCTGTCAGAAAGCTCCTTCGGAGGCGCAGTGTGTACAGGGCACACGTTAGTCAGGTCATTTGCTTCCCTCCACGCCACAGCATTCTCTCATAAATGGCTAAAAGCCCTGCAACCCCCTGACAAAATTTTGTCCCTAGAAAGACCATTTTCCCCATAGACTTGGGGCAGCGGGCAGCCAAGCACTTCCAGAAAGTCACATCCTGGCCGCCCTCATTCCACCAAGTGTCTACTCAAGGGCACCTCAGTGAGGCCCACCCTGACCACCCCCTTAGTAATTGCAGCCTCTCCGGCTGGCACTCCGGACTCCCCTGAACACTGCTCTCAGGGCTTTCCAATCTCATCATGTCCTGTGATTTACTTATTCCGTATGCTTATTGCCCGTCTTCACCCACTAGGACTGAGATTTGTGTCTGCTTTGTTCTCTTCTGTATACCCAGCTATGCAGAGCTGACACAGAGCTAGTCTCACGGCCTGAAAGAATGAATGAACTTGATGGGTTTCTTCCACCAACGCTCAAGGTCATCTACCTCAGCTAGGCCTCAGTATGCTTGGCAGTCCTGCTGCATTCCCCCAACTCTCCCTTTCCACAATGACTGTTTGAATCTACGCCTCTCTCCTCACACCACCCACCTTTCCTGCCCCCTAGCTCCCAGCCCATGGCCTCGTGTCCTTCTACCTCAGAGAGAATGCAAAAGCCTGCCGATGAGAGGTCCTATGCCTCCTCACACACCAGTGTGTCTTAGCCCCTTCTACAGCTGTACTCCCAGCCCAGCGGAAGTGCTGTCCCTCGCCTAGTCACTCCAGCTGTGTCCTGGACTCAGCTTCCGGCTCCCTCCACACTTGCCCTGCCAATGATTCCCTTCTGGCTCATCTCTTCACCAGCTCCCTGTCTTCTAGAGCCTTACAATCCTTCCCATCCGTAAAAAAAGAACCCAGGCTGGTGCAATTTGGGAGGCCAAGGCAAAAGGAATGCTTGAGGCCAGGAGTTGGAGACCAGTCTGGGCAACATAGCAAGATCTTGTCTCTATTTAAAAAAAGAGCTGGGCGCGGTGCCCCAAGCCTGTAATCCCAGCAATTTGGGAGGTCAAGGCGAGAGGATTGCCTGAGCCCAGGGGTTCGAGATCAGCCTGGGCAATGTGGTGAGATCTCGTCTCTACAATAAATAAAAAAATTAGCCGGGTGTGGTGGCATGTGCCTGTGTTCCAGCTACTTGGAAGGCTGAGGCGGAAGGATCGCCTGAGTTCAGCAGGTTGAGGCTGCAGTGGCTGTGAGCATGATACTGCACTCCAGCCTGGGCAACAGAGTGAGACTCCAACTCAGGAAAAAAATAAAAATAAACAAGCCGGGCTCGGTGGCTCAGCCTGTAATCCCGTGCCTTGGGAGGCTGAGGTGAGT